ACTGTATTTTATTTATGTAGTAAATTTTTATAATTTATTTATGTATTATATTTTTTTGGCAGAACCGGGAATTGAACTCGCACTTAATCTACTGACCCATCTCCGTGGCCCCCATGGGTACCCTTCCTTTTAAATCCAAGTATATATAATTGTTTTGTCTTCCTCTTCCCTGCCACCCCAGCACGACTACTTTTCCCTGTTCCAGCTACCTTTTTTTTTGGCTGCTGGCACAAACCACTCACTCTGAGCACATTTCCCCCATTAATGTCAATAAATATAACTGCTTTGGTGTAAAAAAAAAAAAAAATCAGAAGAGAGTGAAAAATGAAGGAGAGGAAGGAAACAAGAAAGAAAAGGAGAAACATTATTAATATAAACCCAACTATGTTAATTACATGTGTGTGGTCTTTATGTACCAGTTAAAACAGAAACTGTAGTGAATGGAGAAAGTGAGCCCCAAGCCTTCATCTGCAAGAAGCCTGCTTCAAGTACAGACTCCGACCAGGGAGGAATGCGGGGATGCCAGTCATGGTCAAGGAGGTGAGCCCGGAGGGGTTGGGAGGAAGGCGCAGCCCCCGTGGGTGGGACGACTCCCGGGAAAGGGCTGTCCGAGCTCATGAAGCAAGGCTGATGCTGCCATCTGATATTCAGGGCCAGAATAGCTTAGCCACAAGGTGACTAAGAATGTGAGCAAACCGAGGCACAGACGCCGTGGCGGACGCCTCACCAAACCCACCAAGTTCCTGCGGGACACGATCCCGGAGGTGCGCGGCTTCGCCCCCACGAGCGGCGCGCCACGGAGCTGCTCAAGGTCTCCAAGGACAAGCGCGCCCTCAAGTTCATCAAGGACGGGGACGCACATCTGCACCAAGAGGAAGCGTGAGGAGCCGAGCAACGTGCTGGCCCCCGTGAGGAAGGCGGCTGCCAAGGCCTGAGCCCCTCTGGATTAAAGCTTTGAATAAATAAAATAAAATAAAATGCAGCAATAAACAATATTTTAAAAAACGCATTTGATAACACACTACCAAATCCAAAGGCCTTTGCTGGCTGTCATCTGTCACAGACCCTGCCCCACGGGTCACTTTCTGCTCCGTCCAGCCCATCAACTGCCCCAGCCAGGCAGGTGGCAGGAGGAGAGGGCCAGGCACTGTCTGGCACATCTGCCAGCGCTTCCCACCAGGGTGGCTCTGTGCTGGGTCCCCTAACTCATTAAATTCCTTAAGTGGTCGGTACCCCAGCAACACGGCCTTCCTCCCCGCCCGGAAGCCGGCGGTGTGGCCCTCTCAGTGCCGCGCGCTCGTGTCTCGGAGGTCTATCCAGCCCTGGACGCTGGCGTGCCCTCTCTCTTCTTTCCCAGGACGAACGTCCTGTCCCTGCATCCCACGGGGTTGTTAGTCTATGGCTGCGGACCACGGGAAGGTGGCAGTGGTGGTGGCAGGCTTGAGGCTGCAGGATGGAATCTAGAGCATAGGGGACTGGAGACAGTGCCATTCAAAGCAGGATAGGGTGGTGGAGGGGAGCTGGGGGAGGGAGCTGGGGGGGACTCCAGCTCCGAAGCAAAGGTCATGCAGCCAGGAACAGGAGGAAAGTGGGGAGCCTCTCATGGGAAAGACCCGCATCACTTATTTTCATTTTGGTTTTTTTTTTTTTTAATTCCATGTTTTATTTTTTTTAAAGAATTATTTATTCATTCATTCATTCATTCATTCATTCATTCATTTATTTTGTGTGTGTGGCCAGCTCAGCCCACCAGGGGGCGGGGCTGGCTGGCATGTGGTGCTGGGGGATTGAACCGTGGTCCCTGTGCTTTGCTTAGTTTAGCTTGTTCTAAGTAGGTGCTTTAGACCACTGAGCCATCTCACCAGCCCCCATGTTTTATTTTAAGCCATTGTCGTATTTATCATTGCTCATTCTTTAGCTGTATGTACACTTTCTTTTCTGAAATTATCTGTACAGAACAAATCCAACACTCATTGAGAAAAATATTCTGAAAAATTGTATTGACCTGCTTTATTCATTTTCCTCATACTATGACAACTTTGAAGTCTTTAACTTGACTATTTCATTACTTATAGGCTTAAAAAATATTTTGTGACTATCATGCCCAATACCTCAAAAGATTACCCCATTTATATTTATTTCTCCCAATAATAAAAATTTACTTTTTAATGTTTTATTTATTAATTTGGTACAGGTCTCTCACACAGCATGGACTCATAGTGATCCTTCTGTCTCATCCTCCTCTGCACTGGGGTTACGGGTATGTGCCACCATGCCTGGTTTGGGTGGCCTGCACAGCGTGCCCAGAACAGGGCTGGCACAGCATAGCAGTACCAGGGATTGAACCCGCGTCCTCGAATTTGCCAGGCAGGTGCTTAGTGAGCTGAGCTATTTCCCCAGCCCCAATGCTACCAATTTAAATTGCATGTAAGAGGTGACCTTCCTGGGTGAGCGGTGTCCGCCAAGGACTGGGCTGGGCGGTTGATCCTGCGGAGATGCTTCAAAGCTTAATTAAAAGCGTCTGCGTCCCTATGAAACCGTACTATATCCAAGTCTACCAGGAGATCTGGATAGGAATGGGGTTGATGAGCTTCATTGTTTATAAAATCAGAAGTGCAGATAAAAGAAGCAAAGCCTTAAAAGGTTCAAGTCCTGCACCTGCTCACGGTCACCATTAACCAACTCTCAAGTACCCACGAGATGAAGCCTCAGTCTGCCTGTAAACTTAAGCAAGCTGTGTTAGATGGGAGCACAGCATGTCTCTGTATACCTCCATCAGCAGCGTCCACTCTGCGGCATGGAGAAATGACCTGTGAGGTGCACCACCCAAAATAAATAAATAAATTGCATGTAAGAGTAATAAAGCTGAGCAGGCTGTATGGTGGTACTTTGAACAGAATAAATGTCATGTCCTGTTCTGGCAGCTAAACTCACAACTGGATGTTTTCGTGGGCATTTCCCCAGTGGACTACAGCCATTGGTTGATTATAAATAACTTCATAGTAGACTGGGCGTGGTGGCACGCCTGTAATCCCAGCTCTTGGGAGGCTGTAAACAGGCGGATCACTATGAGTCCAATCTTTTTTTTTTTTTTTTAGTTTGATGATCTGTGGGAAGCCATTAAGTGGTATCCATTTTATAATAGTGTCAGCCGTTTTCTTAAGTTTCTATTCCCCTGCTGAGTTAAGTTTCTGCTACTTCCCACCTTGCCCATTCCCCGTGAATCATGTGCTATGCCCCAGGGGTGGCACCTTCCTCCATTGCCTAGATACCTGCTGACCCCCCAATGAGACTTCCTCATTCCTACACTCCCTATATATACCCAGCACCTCCCCTGAATAAACGAGACTTGATCAGAATCCTGTCTTGTCCCCATTCTTTGTGTCTCCTGTCCCTTCTCATCCCCACTCCCCCTCTAGGGTCCTCATTGACTAACCCGCGGGTCAGGACAATGATCCATTTAACTT